TTGCATTTACATTGTTGATCTTGGTGAGTTCATGCACTCCATTTGAATTCCAATGGGATTAATATGAACCTAAACGCAAAACAATCAGAATGCACCTTTATTAAAGTACTCGGTAAATATGCCGATGAATAATTTGCCGAGTTTTTTTTCCCTCTCGCCTCTATTAGTATATAAAGGACAATAATTGTTACAATGGATTCAATAATTCCTACTCGTTCCTTCAGAAATAATTCGAGCAAATTAATGGTTTGTTGTAAAGAAGCTAATTAAAAATTACATGTAATATGTAATTATGAATAATTATTTTTATCAAGAAAGAGGGAATAATAATCATTCTCCGAAATCTAATGAAACAATACAAATTTGGGTACAGATCGTAGAAAGATTCTAAATAAATATATTTTGGAGGTAAGATCTGTCTCCAAGACTACAAACTGAGAACAGACAAGTCAAAATTTTGATTTTTTATTACATGAGTTTTATAGAATGGTTTCACTTAAAACTTTGCAGTTTTGAATAAAATTTAATTTCAAATATATAATGAAAATTTTGTTTCATTATCAAAATTATTTCAAAATATATATTGGTTTGAAATTTTGACTTAAGGGGGCCGACTATAGTTTCCATTGCGCAATATTTCGCATCATAGTAAAATGAAGCGTATTTACTGTTTTAATGCAACTTTTTTCGCTTGATTATTAAAATTAAACAAAATTAAGAAATCATAGATATAAAAATTTAATTACAATTTGATATAACTGATTTTTTAACCGATTTTGCAATTGATAGGTAGGTTGACGTCGTTGCAGAATGTTTTTGACGTTATGATACTCTGTAGCTCTTATAGAAAGGGGTAATAAAAATATTATTAAAGAAAATGTGATAAACATACGCTCTTGAAATTTAAAACATAGAAATGAGAATATCTCCAATATTTTTATTATATTTTCATGTGAATCCATTGTGTACGTCATATTTTGTAATACTCTATAAAAATAGTAAAATTTGCTAATTTTTTGCATTTTGAGATGGCCCCTCTGGTAACAAGACGGTAGAATTTTGTGTTTCTTACATATATTGTATAATATAGTATTACTCATCAAATATTATAGTTTGAACAAAATGTCTATTGTAGTATTTGTATAATTTGCTTTAAAGTGCTAAAAATTGGCATTTTCCTATATAATCCTATAGTAAATGTACCTGTATTTTGAGACGGTCCCTCAAAAATACCCGGACTATAGATTTCCCCTAAACTTTTCATGTACACTGAAGTTAATGTAAGTTATATATGGTATAAAAATGAGGAGTTTCGCTATTGTAGTTTTCACACAATAAAACTATAGTCGGCCCCCTTAAGTCTATTCTCAGTTTATGGTCTTGGGGCCTGGTGTCAAGAAGGAGTAACCTCAGCGGCCGTCAACCTTTTGTCTTGATCGTGTAAATGGACTAACCATAGACAATTCGGCATGAAAATACATGTATGGATTCACATTATATTTTCAAATGACAGTCAATTTACATGTCCATTGATGGGGATCCATTAACAAAGCTCTATTTGCAAATGTAGTCATTGTATGCTCGACAATAGAATTTGTTGAAGGTTGACGAGGTTGTTCATGTCCTTGTGAGTTCACCTTATTTGTCAGTAGTCTGCCTTGGTCTAGGAATTATTTATATGCAGAACAGGGTCTTGCGAATCAAAATAACTGGAATCATTAAAATCATATTCAGGTGACGATAAAAGAAAACTTGTTTTTCAATTTTCTTCATTGGTTACGCATACTTTCTTTTGTTTTTGAACGATGAATATTCCCAACACAGGAAGGCGAGTTTTATACTTATTTTCCCATCAAAATTCTAATTTTTCAAAGAACATACGCAATGTAGTTTTGAACATTTTAAAATTCCTTTTAGAATTTAACCTCAATATTTAAGGCCCTGGCTTTGTGTGATTTTATGATTCTTAGTTACGCTGTCAACCTCTTCTGAGGAAATACCATCTAAAACTATATTTTTATATTTCTTTTATTTAACAATGATATAGATAATCTGGAACGTGTTCAAAACTCCTTGTTATTTATGCTAGTATTTGCATAGAACATCTTATGGTACTGTGATTTTACATTAAGAAAATCTTGGATATTTTCAAAAAGGGATCATTGTTAATAATATGTATGCGCCGATGATAATAATTTGCATGTATAAGTCATCTATTATTATCTAGCTATAGTTATGAATACTACTAATATATATGCAAAGGACGAACACTTAAAAAGTAACAAACTAACATTTTGTAGATTCAAGAGTATACAAAATAATAAATTCATTCAATTATTTGAATTTTTCTTCATAACATCACTAATACATGCATGCAATTTTTTGTGCTACCACTAGTTTCTTTTTATTCATAATTTCTGGTTAGCACTTTCGGTATACATGAGTGTATATAAGAAATTTGTAATTATAAATTAACATAATTAAGGTATTAAATTTTAAACACATGTACATTTCATTTTATATGAAATAAATATAAGCGAGTTCTAACAATGATACATGTACTAGCATTATAGTACAATAAGGATTGGAGAAAAATATATACATTGTACTTTGATACATTTTAAAATTCACAATGTGACACACATAAATTGACATAATGATCCAGCATAATTTTACAAATAACAACGAAAAATATCATTGCTCTAAATATTCACATAATTTCTCTTCCCCCTTCGGTATCCCCACATATCCAGCCTCCACATCTAGGATTTCTCCTGGCATCGACGAACGGTTCTCTGGCGTTCTACGTTGTAGTGTATCTACCAACTCAAAGTCTGTTTGTGATCAATATAAACACGCGATGTAAATATAGATATGTGCTGCTCTAAAAGAGAAGTCTAGAGGTGAAACGTGTTCTAAGAAGTCGTTTCCGAGCTGTCAAGCTTGAGTAGGTGTACTGCCTCGGGCCACAAGACATATTACTACACGAAAGCACAGAATGCAAAATGGCGACAGGGAATACCATACCATCGATATATAGCTGAAAAGGTATAGTTGTTCTCTGTCTTATAACTTCAAATCTTGCCATTTTCTGTTTTGGCCAAAACTTTGTCTACATTTATACTCCTTCTTTTCGTTTTTTTGTTGACCATCAGTTTAATAGAAAGCTGTTTTTGATTAGTTATAAAGAGTATCTGTGCTGCAGATTTTGGCTGTATTTATTCATGATATAATATATCTAATATATATTTTTTCTCAAGTGGACGAAAATGTTGCACAAAAGTCGTGAAGTGTTACAGACCTCTTTAAAATTTATCTAGACGTTTTAGGTAAACACATCTTGAAAAGTTGTATATATTTAGCTGTAAGATCTAGTATAAGGATTTCCCGTGGCCATGAACAATTGAAATTTTTAATGAGGTACATAATGTCCCTGATATCACTGAGGCAATTAAGAGATAAAAGATAGCAGTTATTGGCGGAATTATGTAAATTATGGTGAATATGGAACATTTGATAACCTTGTTTTAAACTTTTTTTGAGTTTGAGCCAAAATCCTTATCAAATTTCAGCATATACTGCAAGTATCAAGCGTGCGAGCATTAAAGTTGTTGTTGTTGTTTTTCTTGCAGATTAGAAAATTGTTGTATACATTAATACAATGTACATCACTTGAAACAAAGTTTGCTTTGAAATCTCTATTTTACAGTATATAGAAACTGAATGCTTGTTGACAAAATGTCTTTTTCTTGGTTTTTGTCAAAGAAAAAGTTTAATCGTGTTAGTCACAGATAAATTTCAGAGGGGCAACATATTTTTTTTGTAGTTTTGTTTTATGTTTTGGTACAACCTTATCTAATACAATGGACGTTTCCAGAATGTCTACGATAGATGTACATGTTTTTACAAAAATTTCATTATATAAGAAGAATAAAAGGGGTTATATAAGAAGAAAATACTGCATGTGACACATTCACTTGCTCTATTTAATTATGGCAGAAGTCATTCTTATGTTGCATTGGCCACAAAAGGCAAAAATGTATTAATAAATTAATAATAATGAATGAATAATTTGAAAAATGAAGGCAATAATTCTTCTTTCAAAAAACAAAATAATAATGTGGTCATTTATTCTCAAGTGTCCTACTTTTAGGAATGGACGTGTATGTCTTTTAAAATCTCATGCATGATCGTAGATTGCGTGTGTAATTTCATTTTTGAAAAAAAAGTTTAAAGATCGTTTTTTGATCACAAAAAAATTTAAGAGCAAATATTTTGATATTTCGTTGCATTAGTTACACAGTATTGATAACAATCCAATTAATTCTTACCTGAATAAATTCGGTGATTCATCAATACTCGGGACCTCGGCTAATTACATCATAACAACCTGCAGTGAAAAGGTATTAAATCAATTAGAAGGCATAAAATATAGGAAGTGACATTCCTAAACTACATATGTCGCACAGTAACAGATTGTAAATGTTTTCAAATTTTGAAAAGAAAAAGTCATAGGTTTAATTCATTCATGAATGAGACATACAGAGGTGTGGTCGATGTATTTTGAGAGATTTCACTCTTTATAAAGTACATTAACATTGTTCTAGAGAGGTATATTGGAGCAGCAAGACTACTTTTTTCTTTGTAAGAACGTTTGTTTGTTTTTGTTTTCAGTAAAATTTGCTTTGTTATATTTTAGATATATACATCTTTAAGTAAGATAATGACGTATTTATAATATATGTATTAATTATCTTTAGATTTCTACATATTTCTGGTTAGTGTTTTTGAAATATGTGTTCCTGTGTCTATCGTATCAATGATTCCTGTGATTGATGGATAGAATAATTATCTTTTTTTTACCATTCAGGTCTATTTCCTGTGCTACTTCGTATGTGATTGATTGGAGCAAAAAAGTTTACATCTGGAAATTCTAGCGTAGATCGATGTTCCAAATAATGAACCTGGATTAAGCGCAAGTGTTGTTTTTTTATTTTCCCACTGGAGTATTTGTAACATCAGATACCTATCTATCTGTGTTCTTAGTAAGATATGTATTCATGAAGGATATTTATAAAGTGTCCATTGAGCCTATGACCAGATCATCAGGAACAATGGTGGAAGGGCTGGAAAGCCAAAATGGTTATTCTTGCTTATCTTTAAAAGTCCTTGGACATTCCACATGTAAACTACTTTCAAATCATCTGGATATTCCTGCAGATATTGTGACAGAAAATGGATTAACTCCAGACGTTTTTGGATTAGCTGAACTTGCTGGATTTGATTCCAGTTACGTTAGACGTTTGGCTACAAAATCAGAAAAAACTGTTGCACTGTTAGAGGCATGGTCAAGAAAATCTGACGGAACCATTGGAAGACTCCTAACATCTTTGGATGCCCTTGGGAGACTTGATTGCAAAACTGATATTACTCCAAGCATAGGTATGTATTGAATTCAAATTGATTATCAGTCAAATACAAATTAAACTATTGACCATTTTGAATTTTTCAATTTCTTTAATGCAAAAGACGTACATCTTTTTGTAGAACTTACTATTGGACAAGTGTTACGCGTAGATGTTCTTTTTAGATGTTGTTAATTAGATGTTGTCAGTGTAGTGTGATATGTTAGCTGATGTGAATACGTACATGTTATATACTTTATTGTTGATAATAACACAAAGATATTACGTCTGCTGTCAGAATATCTGAGAATTTTGTAGCTTTATATTAAGATGAAAGTCATTCATGTCCCGTTTTTCTTTTTGATATTGGCCTTAAAATCTTTTCACTCGAAACTTTCTTGGGGGGAAAAGTGCAAGTAAACAAAGAGCAGCAAGAAATAAACAAAATATGTCGGTCATGGACTTTATTTGTTTATTTCATTCTACGTAATTTGTCATTTTTTCTCACGTTTCATCAATGATTGATCTTCAGGCATTTTATAAATGCTAAAGCACTAGCTATGGTCGACAATCGAAATGATCGACTAGAGGATAAGCCAACTGGAAGCAGATATTAATGGCACTTATTCTTTATCACATAATGTCATCACAGGCAAAAAATCAATAAAAAACTAGAATATCTACTATATCAATCCTTAGTTTATTTCTATCTCAAAGCTAAATCTACAGCATTTTTTGCTATTTTTCTCAAAATTTATAGAGCGTGAATCCAGTTAAAATAAAAAGTACATAATTGTTTATTACTGACAATAAATAAATTTTATTCAATCAGTAGCTTCTTATCCATCTTTGGAAAAAAAATTGTTGATCTACCTAAAAACTTCTCCCCATAAATTATGTTTCTGCATAATGTTTAATGACACGCTTTCGTGTGAAATTGAAGACTCTTTCATTTTAACACATCTACTTCACGGCTACATTTGATGCAAAAGACAAAAGTATTCAAAATGACAATTTGGGGAATTTTCATTTGGTATAAAGATGTAAACAGTTCGATGAACTCTAATTTTAGTTGTTTAGATCACTTAAAGAATTTTTTGTTTTAATTAAAAAAAACACAATTTTAATTAGATACACATGAAAGTTATTGAAGATAATAAACAGTCTTAAAAGTTATCGAAAACAAATTCAAAAATATTGAATCAGAACATTTTGATTGAAAAATAATTTACCAAAGTCAAGGTCAAATGTCGAAGTTTATAAAAATCGATGACAGTATTGAGATCCCACTAAGTGACCTGAGATTAAATTGAAAAAAAGAAATGAAGGATCACGTCATTCACACCAGAGGTGTGTGTTAGGTTTGCATGTACAAATATTGAGTTAATACAAGACGGATTTTTGGTGCCCTGATCAAGCCACAACTTCTGCCATTTACCCGACCGGGACACCATAAGAATCTGCTGACTCGATCCATGCATTTATGGTCAATGCTAATTGTGTTTTTGATACACATTAATTTTATCTATCCTGCTGTATCATTGTATAAAAGAGGATGATTTAATGGTCGCCCAAGAAAACATTAAATTTTATGAACGTTTGATTCACCAATTACAAGGATAAGGAATTTGAGCCAAGTTTTTTCACCTGAGGACAAATTTGAAACATCTTGATTTAAACATGTACGCCTGAAATAACCATGAAATAACGTTTCAAAAAGAGACATTATTAAATAAAATCAAGGTCAGAGTTGGAGGCCAAGGTCAGCTCTACATCTTTTGTCCTACTCAAAGAAGCATACTCGGTCTCAAAAAGCCTCTTTTTAGAAAATAAACCATCATGGTTTGCATCCATTGAGACAGGTCATTTAACTGCTTTCAAAAATATTGACTTATCAAAATATAGTATTTTTTCATTTCAAAAGAAGTCATCATGTATTATAAGACAATATTTTATAAACCAATGGTATAGAGAAAATAGGCAGCAAAATGATGGTAAACTTAAGAACTTATTCCATCTTCAAAACCAATTTTGGAAGAGAACACTATCTCCACATTGTCAATAACTATGATCAGAGGAAAAAACTAAACTTCGCATTTCTGCACATCAATTAAATATTGAAAGGGGAAGATATGCAGGACTTCCCCCTGAATCTAGAAAGTGTTCTTAATGTAATATACAGGAAGTTGAAGATGAACAACATTTTTTGCTCATTTGTCCAAAATACAGCAATGAAAGGTTGCAATTAATGGAAACAATATCAAAAATCAACCCAAACTTCTCTTCTTTGTCACCTGCTGAAAAACTGATATGGATATTGAATAATGAAAATAAAGAAATTTTATGCTTACTTGGAAAATGTATTTCTGAAAATGGTAAAAGAACCAATGTATAATTACCTAGATTCTGTCATCATGTTTATGCATGCTAAGCCATTTAAATTTATACATGTATAGCATCACATTTTTGTATTGTTTAGTGATCATTGACATTCTTCTGGACACTTGTATTATGTAATATGATCATTGGCACTGAGAACAATATTATTATGCAACTTGGTCATTTAAATAACTGTTAAACAAAATTATGTTTAAAAAAAAAGAAAAGAATGTTTAAATTGTACATTTGTGTATGTTGAAATGCCCCTCGGGGCCCTTGATTGGTAAATAAAATATCTTTTATCCTGTATACACGTACGTGAGATTTAGTAACATACTGGTCATTAGGTTATCTAAAATAAAGAGGCTTTTTTTGTAAATTTATTAATTATCAATTACCAAAGCTAATGTCAGTTCTGAGGGTTTAAGGCACTCATCTGTGAAGATTGAATACAACTCCTTGAATATATCACTTGACAAGGGATACTTACTCATCTATGACAACTGATCCAATCTCATTACTATATATATGCCCTTGTTTGCTCTGCTTCCTATCTGTATAAGTTCAATAGACTTTAGAGCTTGATTGCTGTATGTTATCTCTCTTTTTCATCCCAACAGACGGGTTATAGACCCCAACCGACGCAAACGGACAGAGATGCGTTCTCAATTGATTCGTAGTCCAGGTTTTGCTTCACAATCCGGCTTTATGAAATAATGGTTTACAATCCGTCCATAGATATTACTTGTTCTGTTATTGATTAACTTTTTATTCTCGTCTACATTTTGACAAAAGACAAAAATTTAATTAAGGATTACACGTGAGTGTCTGTATTTTTTGGTATATATGTGTATGAGTTGAAAACGAACCATGTCTCGGAATGGAGCCACAAGAATTATGTGTTTATGTTTGTTTCCATCATCATAAACCCTAAAATAGACATGTCCCCCTTCAAATTACAATGTTGCCTTTCTCATACTTGCTTTAGAATCCGTTTTATCAAAAATATGAACAGAAAAAAAAACAAGGGAAACTGTATTAGACTTTTAGTTCTTGGAGTTTTTAAAGAAAGGATATAAATAATTTTGCTTTACTCAGCGTAAAAATAGGGAAAGAACTCTAAAAGAACAGACGTGCCAGACGTTAAATTTTCAAATTTCCTTGTGATAGAGGAAACATAAACTGCGTCTTCAGTTTTTACACTATACATCATTAGGTCGGATTTTTATATAACATGTCGCTGCCGTCTCAGGCAAGTGAGTGGCGTTAAATTACTAGACATGAATTTTAAGAGAGCAAATGTACATGTAATCCACGGTGTCAGGAGGGAAATGAAAGGATTCTTTAGGTTAGAACAAGATGTTCTTTTAAATGAATTTTCCATGAAATGCCGTCGGCCTGTATTTGGGTGTGATACATATTCACTGCTTTTTTTGGTTGCTACTAAGAATCTCGTTTCCTGGAAGAAATTAGATGTAATAGGTGAAGAATAAACTTGCTTATAACATTAAGAAAAATAAACTACTGGAGTGAACAAACATAAAATACATTGTAATAGCTGCTTTCAAGGAGAAAAATTGATGTTACATTAAATTTCCCAACGCTTTTGTCATAAGCATACCTCAAAATTTTACCGAAAGAACAAAGTACTAGTACATAAAACATATTTCCTCTATTTCAGCAAGAGATATAAAGAACTGGTTAGACAGTGATACCAAAGAACCAAATCACTTAGGTAAACCACAATGTATTTTGATAATATCCATGCAAAGCATCTCTCTTTCTCTTTCTCTCTCTGAGTGATCCACTCATTAAATAACAGCAAGTAAACATCGCAATAAGTGTATGAATTTATGTGTTTATATAATTATCATGCCTTTCAATTAAATTTTCTTGTTTAATACATGTCTTTTAATTTCATTAGTCTCAGATACCCCACGCACCCATCCTCCAAAGTTGCGTCTTCCTGCCCCCACATCAAACAACTTCCAGCGAGGGGAAATTTTCTCCTCTCCCGTGGACAGTGTCTCCTCACCTGTATCCCCCACAAAGTCCACAGGGGGCATCAGTGACCACAGCGATGGACCATTGACCTTGGACGATCGTAAGTAAACATCAAGTCATACAAGGATGTAACAGAATCATAAATTTGGCTAAAGGTCAATATGTATCTATTTATACACGTGACCCCGATGAGGTATATTTTGTATGACACATAGTCATTATAGCAAGTATCGTAAAGTTTATACGTACGTTATAACTTTCGGGGAATTAATCATGTTTTGCGCCTTCTGTTTTGTGTCATATGACATCTGGACTGGTACCAGAAATTGACCCTAACTGATTAAAAAGTGCATTGTCATGGTTTGCCATTGTCCAAAGATATATAATGAAATGAGTCAATGGACTAAACAAATGCTAAAGGCATAAATGCCTTAAAATGCCCCCTGACAATTGAATAACTGTACAATAAATTATTTATATTTACATGTATTTAATAAATATATACATTGATTACGATGGTTGTTTTTCCTTTCCAGTTGACGGAAACCAGACATCCTATGTTGCTTGTATTTGTTGCTCAGATGAAGACATAGAAATTGCTCACACAATTATCGAAGCATACCGAGAGGTTACGAATACTCTACAATTCTTCCTTCCCCAGGAACAACTATTGGGCGGGAAATATGAGTACGAATCCCTAGCAGAGGTCATTGAAGACAGGTAAGAGTTCATAGGTCAAGGTCATAATGTGCATGCACAGGCATTGGATCTAAATTCTTTTGATAATCAATAAGATTCTGGGCAATAAAACACAATTACTATGTATACGTTGTATACATAAAGTATTTGAGCTCTGTTTGTTCCTATTTTTGAAGTGTATTTAAGATTGAAATCGCCTGATATTTAAAATGAAAAAAAAACTAAACACAAATCAATTTTAATTGTTAATCTGACAATATACCATTTTGCTTTCGGTAGTTGAATATACTAGACCTATTGTTACAAAGTATGAAAGTGTGCATATAAGCTCTAAGTGCTCGTGATTTCATAATGATTCTTGACAGTTGAAATGTTCAATATTAATCTCTTTCAATATGAAAAAGATATATCAAAGATTATTAACACATTCTATCAAAGTATTTAAAAATACTTATTCCCTTCAATTGTCTGATATATTAACAGATTTTTATTTATATTTTGACCCTGGTTTTGTTGCAGGTGTGATGGTCGTCTTCTTGTAGTTATGTCAAAGACTTATGGTGCTAGTTCTGCCTGTATTTTCTCCACCCAGTTCGTTAAGTCCTTAGATCCAGGTCAGTTATTATTCAACTATATTCATTTTGCAAATCTCATTTTACTAAGGCAGGAAATTCTTCCAAAAAATGTTAAACCCAGGTTCGTGAAAGGTTAATATGCATATTGCAAGTTGACACAAGTGCTCTATGTGTATTGTCAAATAGGTTATAAGAATTTTCAACATGTATCTCTTTATTAATTTTCAAAATAGTACTTTGAATGAAAAATATGAGGAAGTTTACTGTTAGGTAGACGAGTTGGTTTAATTTGATTATTTTTAAAGTGTACAGTACAGATCTCTAAACCAAGACAGCTGTACGTGTGATATTTTAAAGTAATTATCATTATGTCTTTATATGTCTGTCATTTCAAGAATAGATATAATTTTAGGGTCGATTCTTTTTAAGAAATGTCAAACTAATTTAATACAAATGAGATTTGGTAGACCAGATTTAACATATTCCTTATGGCATTAAAATATTTCTAATCCTAAGACCACGTTTCATTGGCCATAAAATGCACCAATGATAGAAAACTTCAAAAAGCGAGAGATACTGCATGAACTTAACTACGTTTTTGCCTGTAGACGATTTTTTTTATATTTTACATTGACAACATTTTCGTCAGCTGTTTAAGGTTGAGGATGCGTTTAACAGCAAAAAGACAAACATCCTTTTATTTCTTAACTTCCTCAGGTAGAAAATTGTCGCCGCAATCTGGGACATATTTTACGCAAGGTGATAAATTTATTCAGCCTACTCTTACTCTCATTAGCATTTAGGTATTTAAGCACGTCAATCAATTAATAACTCAGATTCTTATAAGTAACACGTACATATGTACATGATTATGCCTTCAAGCTGTAGAGAAATCAGTTAACTGAAAAGAACCCGTACCATTGTAAATATTGTGGTATTACTGCATTAAAAGCTGCAAGATTTCATAATAATATTCAGAGAATAAAAACCATCACTGGGTTGAATTTATAGGTTGAAAGTCTTTGACCCGAAAATGTTCATCATAAGGCAGCTATGCACAAGTTTAAACTATATGTACTAGTAATTGTCCATTTCTTTAAAGTGTTGAAAGTTTCTTGGAAGTGTCGGGTTTCTGTCCCATAACTCGGACTTTTTTTCTTATCTCTTTTTTTAACAGCTGAAAAACAAAACTTCATGTACATGAAAGAGCATGTTTTATGTAATCCAATAAAAATATATCACAAACATATCGCGAACTTTACTACAGTCTTTTACATGACATTAAAAAAAAATAAATAAATAAAACGAGAAGATTGTAATCTGCATGTTGATTGTGTCTGAATTGAGCATAACCTTTTTAGCCAAAAAAGAAAAAGCAATTAATGGGGGTTTTTTTCTTATAAAATTAAAAAAAAATTCAATGCACTATATTATTGTTAAACTATGCATGTCATATTTATTCCTTAATGATAATAAAATAATTTCTTTCCTTGTGTATATAATGTAATTCTTTGTTTTTGAAAACATGCTAAAGATAGTTTGCCATTTCCTTGTATTAATTAAATTACAATTGTCTTTTTAAGTCATTTTCTAAAATTTTTATTTCTGACAAATTAAAGAGCAAAATCGGGAATTATTTATGGGTATCAATAAACTGTCAACAGAGAAACAATTTTTCTGAGAAAATGAATTAAAAACGAGAAAACCCGTTGATTAATTCATAAGTAAAGATTTCCATAGTAAAAGATGTTTTCTTTTTATATATATCTTCTTATAAAACTTTAAATAAAAACGTTTCTCCTGCAACGCGTAAAAAGATTTACGATTTTCAAATTATACCATGTTTACACGCAAATATTGACAGTTTATGAAAGGACGAAGATAAAACTATTTTGTTATTCTGAACATCATACATATGGAAATAGTTGTAATTAACGAATTTTCGACCATTTCAGATGCAAAGCGAAGAAAGATCATCCCCATCATAAAGGACGAGGACGCGTCCTATCCAAGAGTCCTCCGCGGCATCAATGCTATCAAGCTCCAGCGTCTCAAATACACTTTACCATTCTGGAAGCTTCTGTCTGCTTCCCTGGAAATTAAGTTCATTCCCAAGTATAATCAATCGGATACTAGTAGTTCTTTTTCCTCTTCATCAAGCGCCATTGCTAACAGTTCGTCAAGCTCAAGTTCAAGCAGTAGTTCATCCGGTCCTTCCTCCTCCATGAACTCGTATCCTTCCTCATCCTTAAGTAAATCTAATATTCGCTCCAGGACTTTTTCGGTGGAATCTCTCGAAAGTATCATTGATAACGAAGAGGTACCAGACGTGTCTCGGATACATAACATACAGCGGCCGATTTCGTCTAATAACTGTAGTCAAAATTTATCCAGTTCAAGTGTTTGTCAAAGTAAAATGTCGAAGTCCCCAATTACGGAAGATTTTTCATCTTTTGACAACACAGAAAAGGTGCGACTTCGACATTCAAACAGTGATCAAAAAATGACAAAGTCTTCGGACAACTCTTGTTCCAACTGCAATCCAGGAACCGTGAAAAAATCCAGCAAAAAATTGGTGACGAAAATCATGAAAACATTTAAATTTCGAAGTAAAAGCTCTAAGTCCTTGGTGGATGAACCCAGCAATTCTTCAAAGACGCCCACAACATTTCGATCAACTTCAGAGCCTGTGGAAGGCATCCAGAGAACATTCAAGTCGTGTGATGACATTTTCGGTGAACAAAGAAGAGAAAAGTCCAAACTTCACTTTGTTCAAAACATTGTCACTTCCATAAAGACTGGCATTTCCGGTTCCAGAGAATTCACAAAAAGTGGACAAAATCTGACACCCGGGTCGAGTTGTGAAAGATTATCGTCTCCAGTTCGATCTTCTAGTAGTCTTCAATCGAGTGACGTAGTTCCGGCTGTTGAACTTCCGCTAAATATCAGTATGAACACTTTTAACGTGATTCAGAGAGAGTACTCTTTTGAGGGCAATTCGGAGTCGGCCATCATGCGATCGTCTAATAGTTATTCAGACACCAATACGGAATCGGCCATTCTTCGAGGAGCTGGCTCGACCGAGAGCATTGATGACAATAATGCACAATTCTCACTTTGTTGATTGTTATATAACGAAATCTCAAAAAGTCCCCATTATTCCTGTTTGTTGAGATTAGCTTGGTGAATTAGAAAATGAAGAAAATAAGTATTGTTTTAGAACGTGGCATGTATGTATATACATTGATTTTGAATTATAGTATGAGGGAATATTTGAAAACTATGTCAATTTATTTGTTTTCTCAAAATACGAAAGAAAATTTGAAGATTGTTTTTGGGAAGGGGGAGGCGGGTATAAAGTTAAATGATTTATAGTATTGCCCATATGTTAGATTTTTTTCAAATGCATGTCAATATATTATTGTAAAGTATTATCAATTGTGTTTTTAAAATTAAACCATTAAGTATGTGTATATACATTAATGAAAACGTAAAATTTTGACATTTAAATAATAATAATAAAAAATAAATATCTGAGGAGTATTTAAAAGTTGTCTTGTGTTGTACTACACCTGTGCCCGTCATTGTATTGTCACAAAATATATATCAAGAACGACATTAATGTAACATATGCTTGTCAATAAAGTTTAACGAAGGTAAATCATGACAGTCTACTCGTTGAACACAGATGTCAATGTGTAAACGATACAAATGAAATGAATGACACAGTTTCTCAAACATAGTGTATACAGGTTCTTCCTGGAAAATTGTTAGTCAAAACTGAAACAGTCATGTTTATTTTCTCATGTGTAAAGTAGCTGCAGATCTGTAGCTCTCCGAAAAAAAATATATATTGATAGACCGGAGAGCTACAGTGCCACCCATTGAAAAAACTGTATATTTATTGCGCACAAAAAAGTGCGCTCGGTTTTCGATTTATTTCTCCATGTTCCTAAAACTGTAATCTCAAAATATTACTAACCGTGTGTTCCTAACACATTCTCTGACTCTTTCCACTACAAAGCATTCGTCATAATTGTCGTTAATAGTCCTCCTGACCCTGATATTGTAATCATCGAACATTTCGCTTATTTATACTGCCATTTTGATTTCAAGATAATTCGGTCCAATATGCTTCGTTCAGATGTCAACTACGAGAGTACTTGATAGAGGAAAGAGAATTTTTTTTAAATCTTCCCTTTTTTTGCAATTGAGGTAAGAATTTGGAAGAAATAATCAAGAACCGAGCGCACTTTTTTGTGCGCAATAAATATACAGTTTTTTCAATGGGTGGCACTGTAGCTCTCCGGTCTATCAATATATATTTTTTTTCGGAGAGCTACAGATCTGCAGCTATGTGTAAAGCTGAGGAAATTTTTTTTCAAAATTAATCTTATGGCAATGCGTCTACTAAACTATACTTATTTTAAAAACATATACATAAAACATTTAAAAACAAGATGTGTTTGTGAAACACTATGCGCCCGGTGGCAACAAAGTTCAAAAAAGATATTTTTAGCAGTTAAATCACAGTCAGGGTCACAAGATCATTGACCTTGGTGTCATTTGGAAGAGCTTAATTAGTGAAGTAAGCATACGAAATATGAAGTCTCTATCTCTCCTGGTTCAAAAGTTATGGTGAAAGTTCTAAAATGCTATTTTTAGCAGATAAATCACAGTCACGGTCACAAGATCATGATCTTGGTGTTATTTGGAAGAGCTTTATAAGTGGTGTATGCATACCAAATATGAAGTCTCTACCTCTCATGGTTCAAAAGTTATGGCGAAAGTTTGAATAAGCTATTTTTAGCATATAGGTTACAGTCAAGGTCACACGGCCATTGACCTTGATGTCAACTGAAAGAACTTCATTGATGGAGTATGCATATTTAAAAATATGAAGTCTCTATCTCTGATGGTTCAAAAGTTATGGCGAAGGTTAAAGTTGCCAACAGACAGACAGACAAACAGCAGACAGACAGACAAACAGATGAACAGACAAACAGACAGGACAAAAACAATATACGTCTCGGATCTCCCGGCGCATAAAAATCCTTGTCTTTGGTTATAAATATCAAAAAAATTTTCGCCAGATATTGAGTTTAAAAAAATAAATTCAAAATAAAACTGTTTTAATTTTCACTTTAAGCGTACAGTTTTCTTTTATGCAAACAAAATATCTAATTTTTAGAAAGAAGACTTTTCATGGAAACCTTTTTTTTTTTTTTTTTTTGAAAGGGTAATCCCGTTACCAGTAAATCGAATGCACCAAATGAGCTAAGAATGATAACTCCATTCTAAATGGAAACTTTCAGGAGAGAGAGAGAGATTAATCAATTGATTATTATACCCCCGCTTGAAAAGCGGGAGGGTATATAGTAATCGTTAATTCCGTCCGTCCGTCTGTTACGCTTTGGGGTACCCACCTCTTATCCGCAACTCCTCTCATACCACTGAATGAAATTTAATGAAACTTTCACAGAATCTTTATTACATATTGCCATTGTGCACCTCCTATTTTACTTTTTGATCCGACACATATTTTGGGTTTTCCGGCCACAGCAAACATGGACTTCGCCATTATAACTATATGGAGGCGGGGGGTATCATTTAGTGAGCTCATCGCTCACAGTACCTCTAGTTTAGAATTCATGTTTATTTTTATATTAATTAATTTATTTTTTATATCATAAACGTACTCACCAATAAATTAATTAATTTTTAAAAGTAAACAAATATACAGGTATAAGAAATATTCTTTTTTAAAAAAATATTATTTTTACTTTTAGGGCAGGAATAAAAAAAAGTAGAAATTTTCAAACTTTGACTAAATTGCATTCATTGATATATTTCATTATACATTCTCTTCGTTGTTAAACTCCTAAAAAAAACTCTTTTCTACAAGAAACAAGAACTGTGTTCTTTCCATTATGGTTGTGTAAAACTCAGAAAATAAAACGTTGTTCTATTTCAAATGGTGTACCATCATATTGCATGAAAACAATAAAAAACTAGAGGTACTGTGAGCAATGAGCTCACTAAATGATACCCCCCGCCTCCCATAATGTCGATGTGTTGCTATATATTGTTTTACGGTAATGTGTAAAGAGGAATAACTCGTCCAATTGAGTCAAATGTTATCCAGAAGCTTCTATTATGTGACGTCATAGGTAAACAAAAAATGGCAATGTCCATGTTTTGCTCTGGGAAACGTAAAATACGTGTCAAATAAAAAAGTAAAATAGGAGGTGCACAATGGCAATATGTAATAAAGATTCTGTGAAAGTTTCATTAAATTTCACTCAGTAGTTTAAGAGGAGTTGTGGATAAGAGAAAAAGCGTAACAGACGGACGGACGGACAGACAGACGGACGGACGGACAGACGGACGGACGGACGGACGGACGGACGTACAGACGGACGGAAATCCCGATCACTATATACCCTCCCGCTTTTCAAGCGGGGGGTATAAAAATACACTGTACTCTGAATTTCGAGTCAAATAATGTCCGAAGTCACTTTGAAAATTCTGAATCAAATCTTCCTCCCAAATGTTAAATTAATATATTTTGTTCTTTCTTTCCTTCACGAACAGTTTATCTAAATTGATGAACAAATTTTTCAATTGTTATCTTTTTTTACAGCTAGGCTTACTTATTTTAAAGTTATTTTAAATATTTTTTTTTTTTACTATTTCATGATCAAATAAGATTTTTGCGTGTTTACAAGTGGTGCCTTGTAGAGAAAAGTACATGTCATATATGTACAATGTACTTACTTGTATATTCTCTTGTTTACTATGATTCCTATAACTTTATGAAATGTGATGATAAAAGTGAAGCACAGAAAGTCAGCCAATAAGATGTTGATATAAGTATTATTTAAAGTTTCCTTTTATCATTCATTTTCAAAATATTAAGTCGTCGTTTCAACACCGATCAAACTACTCAGATCGGATAATCCTGCAAGGAAAATAAAGGAGGGGTAGTGCTTAAAATATGAACATCTCGATAAAATAATTATTCATTTTATAGGTTAAAATATATTTTAATTTACAATAAATGTATAAAATTCAACAAAAAATGCCTGAAACTGTTCTCCCCTGAGTAAAGGAACATAATTATACATATGCATATATGTATGTTTAATATAAGTATTATAACAGTAAGTATATATATATATTTCCTTTTATTGGTACATTATAGAATGAATCCGGAGAGAGAGAGAGAGAGAGAGAGAGAGAGAGAGAGAGAGAGATTTCAATCGCATTCGGAGCTCCTCGGATCATATCTTGATGTGTACTGTAATTAGCCGAGGAACTTCGCGCTTTCTGATACTATCGGCGATTGGTTGAAAGGTAAGCGTGGGTCAGCGAAGTGAAGCGCGTCACAACAAAGGGGACAGTCTATACGAGGATTGACCTTTTGTTTACAGATTACAGTTGCAGGACGGATATTTTTCATTTTCATATTGTAGTAAAATGGTAAGAATCAGCTTTGATATTGATATATTTTCAATGATTTGTTTCTTGTTTTGATTCGATTAGGTTGATTGCATACTGAGGGACCTAATATCATGACTAGTACATGTCCCTGACACACCTGTTGCAAGTCATTTGTAATATTGGGGTTTTATCAAATATTGAAATCATGACAACTCGTGTTAGCATTTGCATTTGCACTGACATTTCAATACTTTATTTCAGACTACCAAGGACTAAAAGGATCTTCTCTGCATTTTGCCTTTGAGTGAAACAAATAATTTTAGTGTGTTTGAACAAACCTTTGTTCAAGAGTTGATACAAGTTACCAGTGCAGTTATTAGTGTTAGAATTAACTGCCTTTGCAGAGTAATATGGCCGTAGCTAATCAAAGTAATTAACACTAACGGTAACTTTTAGGAGGACATTGTGCCAGTCCAAGCTCAACAATTATAACACCCCAAATGCCGAGACGGTAAACGGTAATGACATGTTTATTTGGGCAGCTCGTCTCGCATTTTGAAATGAAACGAGTTTCTCAATTAGCTACCAACTTGCGTTTATGACACTTGGGATTATAAGATAAAATTGTAATCTAGACGGCCATCACAAATCATCGAATACAAGGACATCTGAGGATATTCTACCAAGATGAAAACAACCAGAATCGTCAGTGCAAGGAAAAAGACCTTGAGAGACAACGAACAACATTTCAAAAAAGCATGTGACCAAATAATACAACTCAACAACAAAATGTCGGATCTACAGGCAAGATACAAGAAAGCCACGAAGGAAAATCGTCGTCCTTTTAGATATACCCTCAGACTGAAAATTGCCATTTACGATGGAATGAGGAATGTTTATTATGAATACGCTCATGACAAAGCCCGAACAATTGCGGATCTGAGACATGCATTGTACGGAGAAAATGTACAAATCGTGTCCGACGAAATGTCAGCCTCTGGATCCGAAGACGAATAAGGATGAGGATTCGGGCTGTTAAATTGTGATCATGGTTCTTTGAAATTTAATTTCATACTATGATCGAATGTAC